AGAAGGAGAAGGAGAAGGAGAAGGAGAAGGAGAAGGAGAAGGAGAAGGAGAAGGAGAAGGAGGGAGGGAGGGAGGGAGAGAGAGAGAGGGAGAGGGAAACGGCTGTTATCAAAGTGTAGTGTTTTTATGTAATATAAGGTAACTGGTTTGTGCAGTCCCTTCGCAGCGGTTCCTTGGAGGCACCACCATCCCTCCTTACCCAGGATGCTCAGTTTCTCTTTACTGCTAAAGTCTGTACCTTCCTGGGGCCCCTCGAGGGCGAAGGACCCATCTTCTTTTCGTAGCCCTAGTACTTAGCACACACTGCTACTCCAGTGGGTTGAAAGAATTTAAGGATCTGTGTTGGGAGTGGATTTCGAAAACAGGAGAGACAGAACCTGTGATGATCTCTCTGGGCTCAACAAATCTTCCTCAACCTGTACCCTTGAAGCAGTGGGGCGGGGCTGCTTCCGGCTTTACAGGAATCTTAGAAAAGACAGTTAATTTTTTTTTTTTCTGGTTAGAATGAACCAAGGGTGCCAACTATTGCGTTCGATTTTGCATATTTTCTACAACTAATAAGTATGACTTGTCAATAAGTATGACATACTAAGTTTTAAACAATACTGAGTATTAAACAATACACGTGGAAGATAAGTCCAGGCGACTGGAAAATGAATCGACTCCTAGCGTTCTTATGTATTCAGCCTTCCCAAATACCTCCCCCCCCCCAGCTCTAACGACCCTTTCCCAGGAGGATGAGAGAGACTCCAGTATTGCAGAGCAGTGAGGAGCCACCCCACCCCACCCACCCAGGGGCTGGGAAGTCCAAGAATAACCCAGAGCGGCAAGGGAGGGAAGAAAGCAGCCGCCAGGCTACCAACTTCCTCTGCAGCATCCTGCGGCGCCGCTCCCTCCATCTACCTTCTGGTGTCCGAGGAGCCAGTGGGGGGGCGGCCCCGGGAAGGGGCTCAGGTCACGCAGCAGTCGCTGTCTCCGCCGGTAGAGCTTGATGGCCTGCATCAGCCCCAGCGCCAGGCAGAACACCAAAGCCAGGTGCAAGGGCCGCGCCCAGCGGGTCTCCAGCCAGGAGGCCTCCATCACTCTGCGCTGGCGGTCGCGCGGGCAGTGGGTAGGTGGATGGAGGATAGGGTGGTGGTGGTGGTGGGAAGCCCGGAGCTGTCTCCAGCCCGGAGCTGGGGAGGATCACCCAGCCCCCTCCCCAGTGAGCCCTCGGTGTAGCGGAGGTGGGGGAGGGGCGGCTCCTGCCCGGGAAGAAGAGACTCGCCCTCAGAGATTTCCAACCGGTTACCCACTCACTGGTGCACGCTCGGATTCAGGCAGACACCTGGGGTGTCTTATTTTAAGTGCGACACTTTCCAATCGCGGGTGATCTGAATTTAGACTTTTGAAATAGTGCTCAGCCTGAGGTAATTGTTTCTCTTGTCACGAAACAAAAATAAACTGCTATGCGAAAGGATCCGCTTTCCCACTCTGCAATTCTATGAGCTGCCACAGAAGCTAGAGGTGGTGGCCGAGGAGGGTAAGGCCATTCATTATACACGTGAGGTGTGGCTTGCCAAACTGTGCTTGTGAATGTTTTGCACTTTTTCCTCACCCTGATTTCTAAGCGTGCTCCGACGTTCACCACGGCCCATTTCAAGTTGTATGAGGGCGCCGAATTGGGAAGAGACACACAGTGATGCACAGCTAGAGAGTATTTCTACCATTCAAATACCATCAGGACTGCCATATAATTTATGGACCCCAGTGCAAAATAAAAAACGTGGGATCAGGCCTGGTGAGTAGCTCAGCGAGTGAAGATGACCTGAGTTGGATCCCAGAACCCACATGTTGGAAGGAGAGAACAGACAGAGCCGACTCTTTTCAGACACTCACATGGGCTGTGGCTTGCACACCTTTCACAATAAGTAAATGTGAAAACCCAAAAAATTAATTAAGTTTAAAATTACAATAGTAGAACATTAAGCAATATTAAAACAAGTATATGCTTTTCTGAGTTCAGAGCCATTTGACTGTTTAGGTCCCACTTCATAAAACCAGCCTTGGATACAGACAATCTGAGAAGCAGCCTAATTGTAAAATGTATAGGAATAAACTCAGTCCTCCACAGAACGGCGTTTGTTACAGTACTTAAAGAAACAGCCGGGCGGTGGTGGCGCCCGCCTTTAATCCGAGCACTGGGGAGGCAGAGCCAGGAGGATCTTTGTGAGTTCGAGGCCAGCCTGGGCTACCAAGTGAGTTCCTGGAAAGGCGCAAAGCTACACAGAGAAACCCTGTCTCGTAAAACCAAAAAACCAAAAACCAAAAACAAAACAAACAAATAATTACTTTAAAATGCTTTAACCAATCACAAGCTATCATGTCTTTATTTACTCAGGGTTCTAGAGAGATATCTTGTGTCCTTACACGGTTTGAAACGGTTTGTCACATGACAATTCATTTCACAAGTACTGGCCGCCTAGGATGACTGAGTCACTGTTCTCAAAGCTGAAGAAAAGGCAGTGAACAAAATGCTGTCTCTGCCCTCACAATCTCATATTTTTCCTGCCCTGAGTCCTAAGCTATGGACACAGATTGATTCACAGTTCAATTCTAGCTGTAGCTTCCCCTGAAGCTAGTTCCAGAAAGCCAGAATCTGCCAAGGAAGCACATATGAAGATGTGTCAACCCTCCATGGCTCAAGAATATTAGGAAAAATTTACACCTGTACTGAACATGTGCAGAACTTCTTCATGTTATCATTCCCTAAAGAGTACAGCCACATACATAGCATTTACAGTGTACTAGGCAGTATAAGCGGGTTATATGCAAACACGATGCCACCACATATAAGGGCCTTGGGTATTTACAGATTTTTTTTATTTTTTAATTTTACTTTTGGGCTGGAGAGATGGCTCAGAGGTTAAAAGCACTGACTGCTCTTCCAGAGGTCGTGAGTTCAATTCCCAGAAACTACATGGTGACTCAAACTCAGAGATCCGCCTGCCTCTGCCTCCCGAGTGCTGGGATTAAAGGCGTGCACCACCACCACCCGACTGGACTTTTTTTATTTTTAAACTATTTTAAAAATCTTTGATTATATACATTCTTTCTCTTTTCTCTCCCAAGCCTACATATATTTTTAAATACACTGTGACCCATTTAGAGTTTTTTCCCCTCCAGTCTGGGTCTATCTTTACTCAGCATCTACATTGTTTTCTGATTCTATGAGATGAACCTTAAACTGCTATGTCAGCGGCTGGCACTGCTCAGCTTAGTGCATTGGTAGTGCATGGTGACTGGCAGCTGGCTTCATCCTGTAGGCAGCTGCCCCGCGATGCATCTCTGCACTGCAGTTGGTATGAGACTGTGAGGCTAGGAAGCCACTCTTGGCTCTGTTTTTGTGTGTTTGGAGCCTTTAAAAAAAGAAAAAAAAAAAAGCGGGGTTAGAGAGATGGCTCAGCGGTTAAGAGCACTGGCTGCTCTTCCAGAGGTCCTGAGTTCAATTCCAAGCACCCACATGGTTGCTCACAACCATCTATAATGAGATCTGATTCTCTCTTCTGGTGTCCCTGAAGATAGGTCCCTCATATACATTAAATAAATAAATATTAAAAAAAAAAGCTTTCTCTGGTTGTATGTGGAACTATATTGCCCACATTGGGTGACATTTGGAAGTTTTCTTCTTCTTCTTCTTCTTCTTCTTCTTCTTCTTCTTCTTCTTCTTCTTCTTCTTCTTCTTCTTCTTCTTCTTCTTCTTCTTCTTCTTTCTTGCTGGCCAGTTTCTGAATAACCACACAGATTTTTATTATTAATTATAAATGCTTGGCCAATAGCTTAGACTTGTTTTCAACTAACTATTATAACTTGAAGTTAACCCTTTTCTATAAATCTATGTGCTGCCCTGAAGCTCATTTACCTCATCTATGTGCTTTTCATGTTGCTTCTCCCAAGTCTGGTTGGCAACTCCTCTGACTCGGCCCTCCTTCCTCCCAGTATTCTCTCTGCCCTGAAAATCCTGCCTAGCTATTGGCCAATCAGCTTTTCATTAACAATGAAACCAACACATCTTCACAGTTTGTGGAAGGGTTATTCCACAGCACTTTTTCTTTTTAATTTTGGTAGGGATTCAAATTTGAGTTTGCTTTGAGTCCTGGTAGAGACTTTGAACTTGGAACTTTTGAACAATGCTAAGGGGGTCGGTTAGGATGGAATAAATGAATTGTGTATGTATAAAAGTATGGCTAGGCATAGTGTAGTTGCTAGCACTGATTGAAAGAGGCCAAATGCTTTATTTCTTTTGCATGTGAAACTTTGGTGGACATTGGCTCTTGGGGTCAGTGAAAAATGTTATGGATTGAATGTCAATGCCCTGCAAAGATTCACATGTTATAGACTTGGTCCCCAGGGGAGTAATTTTGGGACTTTTAGAAAGTAGGACCTAGTGGGAGAGCTTTAGGTCAGAGGAAAGTGTGCTGTAAAGGGAATTGTGGGACTCAGTATCCTGTTCTTTTCCTTGCTCCTTGGCCCAAGAGATAAGTGGTTTGTGCTACACCTTCCTGCCATGGTGTCCATCATCTCTAGAGTTCCAAAGACTTGGGACTGCCAGATCTAGGACTGGGAACCCTACAAGGATTGTGAAAAAAACAGATACTTCCTCTTTTTAAAAAGTTTTATTAGCATGTTAATTATACATAATAATAGGTTTCATATCAATGAAATTTAATAAATGTATATATGGTGGTTTGAATGTTTCAATAGTATTGGAATGCTTGGTCCCCAGTTGGCGATGCTCTTTGGGGAGGCTTACGAGGTGTGGGCTTGCAGGAGGAAGTGTGTCATTGGAGGTAGCTTGGACTTAAAGACTTGTGCCATTTTGAGTTCATACTTTACTTCTTGCTTGCAGTTCAAGATGTGAGTCCTCAGCTTCCTGTTTCTGCCACCATAACTGCATTCTGCCTCCATGGACTAACCTAACCATTCATCTAACCCTCTGGAATTATAAACCCAAATAAACTCTTCTGTAAATTGCCTCATGGTGTTTTATCATAGTAGCAGAAAAGCAGCCAATACAGTGTGCAATCTATTTTGATCATGTTCACCCTTATTAACTCCTCTTGTCCCCTCCCAGTCTTGCTTATCTTCCTCTGCTCAGTCAGTTATATTCCTTCTATCCCCCCAATGTATGTCACAATGAATCTAATCAGATTATTTATAGAATAATAGGTTAAAAATGGTTAAAATATTTTTTATTCCTACCAGAAATGTATGAGGATTTCAATTTCCCCATACCCTTGTCAGCATTTATTTTCCATTTTATAGCCAATAAATTGATCTGTTAATTTTTAACATTTTTCTTTTTTTTTTTTAAGACAGTTTCTCTGTGTGTAGCTCTAGCTGTCCTGGAACTCTATCTGTAGACCAGGCTGGCCTTGAATTCACAAGGATCCTCCCGCTTCTGCCTCCTTGCAAGTGCTGGGATTAAAGG